CCCCAGGACATGTACAATCCTGTGATAGGATTAAGAGAAGGGAAGGTTCCTACAGCCAGACAGTGTTCTTAAGATCACTCTAGGGGTCCTTATTATAGACTTTATTAGGGGAGACTGATGAAAATTGAGGGTTGATTGCCTTGCAAACATAGAGGCTAGACTTCAAAAACACCCTTACATCTCCCAGTTCAATACCACAGAATGATTGGCAGGCTGGGCTCGGAGCAAGACAATTTGGGGTTCAAGCTTCAGCTGTGCTGCCTATTAGCCTGGTAAACTTAGGAAGTGATTTAACATTTTTGAGCCTCTGTCTAATTATCTGTGAAACTGAGATAACAAAGGTGCCTACCTTGTAGAGGTTATGTGACGACAAAATGAGGTGACACTCGTAAAGCACTCAATAGAGCATTCAGCTCCTTTACTCACTGTGTGTGTGTGTGTGTGTGTGTGTGTGTGTGTGTGTGTCCCCTTGGCCTTTCCAGAAGTCCCCTGTGGTGCTGTGTGGAGTCACTGTTAGCAATCACTCAGCACGCAGACCTCCAGCCGCCTTGGGGCCTCAGCCAGGAGGGCACAGGCAACACCTGGCTGACTTGGCAACAGCAGGGGATTGCTTAACTGTGTTTCAATCAAGTTCCACCAAATTGGCAAAAAGCTTTGTCACATGTTTTATCAGGTACTCGACAAGCCTGGAGCAAGAAAGGAGAAGGCATAAAGGGAAAAAAGAGTGAGCAATGCAGACACTGGCCCAGGTTGCTACTCATGGAATCCAGGAAAGGTGACAGAGTTCAGACCATTCACTGACCTGCAWTCCTGATACTCAGGTGGGTCAGGAGGTGCAGAATGCAGACTCYCCAGCCTGGAGTGTCTTGTAACTCCTCTCAGCACTAGGAGGATTTGCCTGCAGGTCCCAGACCTCAGCCCCTACATCCTTATTCCTAATAAGGCCAGAAACAGGGAGGAAGCCAAAATGAAGCTCTTTCAAATACCAGAGAGATGTAAACAATGCTATTGGTCTCCCCCATAAAAGACAATACACATAGAAATAAATAATTTTCTATCCAACTAAGAATCTGGATGCCTTTTCTTCAGAGCAACAATCTGTCAGCAGTTCCTGCAACATGGAGGCTTGAGTCAGAGTGAACTCCAGCCAAGATCACCATTTGTAAACTCACAAGGAGGAACTTCAGATTCGGTTGCACTCATGCCCTTTGACCTCACATTGGGCTAATTCTCAGAGATATCTTTCTGGAATCATTCCATTTCATGCATGTGGACCTGTCCATGGCTAGGCAGGGCCCACCATGTCCAGCATTGTCATCCTGTTTTTAAAACAATGCTTATTCACCTCTATATGAGAAATTAGTGGGTTTGATCTCTTCATTCTGTTAACTGCCATTTTTCTTAAGGAAATATTAAAACTGATTTTCCCCCCAACCCCAGCCCAAAGGAGAATAGCTTTCCTGTGGGTGGGAAGGAGTATGGGGGCACTACATTTGTTTTACCTCCTTCAGTTGCCAGTCTTCCATGGGCTCCCACTTGCTTACTCTGTAATGAAGCCTGCTGCAGTAAGATTTACCAGCCTTCTTGAGGCTGGGGCACAATGTGTTTATGGGGGCAGAAGGTGGAAGGTCCAGTTCTGACTCTGTCTTTACACAGTTCTTTCTAGGCAGACACTGCCCGTTCACATCACTTTTCCTTTCTGTATCTGTCCCCCTATTTGCAAATAAAAGGTTATACCCACTTATCCCTTAGGCCCTCTCCAGCCCGGAAATTGTTTTTGGAAATCCTAAGAAAACATTTATTCTTCCCTGTTAGACTTATTAAGTTTTATATCCTTCAGGAAACACAAGCTGTACGTATAAGAAAGCAGAAACCATATTTCAGAATGTCTTAGGGTTTTGGAATGTCGAAGCCTTAGCCTGCGAGTGATGGTTTAGAGATGTGGCCTTTGGGAGGTAATTACATTTTGATGAGGTAATGAGAGTGGGTCCCTCATGATGGGATCATTGCCCTCATAAAACACACCAGAGCATCTGTACTGTCTCTTTCTCTTCCCTTCCTCCCCCCATCCAACTTTCCCAAGGAAAGGCTATGAGAGAAATAGCTGGTAGGTGACCATCTTCAAGCCTGGAAGTGGACCCTTGCCCGAAACTGAATTGACTAGCACCTTGATCTTGGACTTTCAAGTTTCCAGAACTGCAAGAAATAAGTTTATTGTTAAGCACTCAATCTGTGGTAGTTACAGCCGTTCAAGTGGACTGCGACAGCCAGCWTTCTCTAGGAGAGCCAGGGTGTCTTAGCCTTGGCTGTCTTCATGCATCAGGCAGTCAGGGCAGCATGGAAGGTCCCATCAAATATGGCAAAGCAGAGGTTTCGAGTGTCTCATTCAAGTGATAATCACCTACACTGTCACACAATTTCAAGCATCATTGGTTTGTTAGGAGTAGAAACTACCTGAACTAGACCACAAAATACTCTAAATAATTACATAGTAGKTAATCATGAGAAATGAATGACCATTTCCAGTCCTCTTTGGAAGAACATAGGGTAGGAGTATGAAAGTATATTAATAAGAATTAAACAAGAAAATGGGAGTCTGCAGCAACCAAACTCATTCTTGGAGCATGTCATCTGTAGTACTGTAAGGATTTCCATAGTGAAGTTTTTAGCTCCACTGGAAATGACAATGCAGGTGTCACCCTGAACAACATAGATCTGAAGCAGCATCATGTACATTCTTCTCCTTTCAGAACCGATTCAAATGTCACCTCTTCTAATGACTTTTTTAAACGTCATTTGAAAAGGACATTTGTATATTTTACATTCTGTATTCTCCTTATAGAATTTATTAATCTTTTCTCAGGGCTCTCATTGCAAGTCAGTTTTACTTTTATAAAGTACTTTCCACATCATACTATAGGAAATTGAATATCCTTTCTGTCCTACTAGACGGAGAACTCTCCAATGGCAAAGCCATGGACATAGAATCTGCTCATTAAAAACTTGAATGAATGAATGAATAGATGGCTTCTTTAAAGATCTCTTGTTTGTCTCAGACTTCCAGAGATACTTTGACTGGGCTACCAGACAGAGGTTCTCTGCCTCCATCTGCCCATATATGATTCTAATGAACAGAAGTTAAACAGAGTCATCTTTTTGCCCTTAGAATCTTTAATCGGCCACAGGGACTGCCAGGAAACAGCCAGTAAGTTCCAAAGGTCACATGTGAAGTTCCAATGTTTTAATAATATTTATCCTAACTGTTGTTTTGTYCATATTTCAAGTACTTCCTGATGTGTCTTTATTCCTAAAACTGTTGACTGTTCATGGCCATCAAAAGACTATTATTACAGCATGGAATACCATGTAGCCTGTTTTCCTGTTTAGTATGACTCTCTTGTAATTCATAGTCTTGATCAACTTATTTTTATTTTTTATTTTTCTTTTCTTTTTTTTCAGTGCTGGTTATTGAACTCAGGGCCACACACATGCAATGCAAGTACTCCAAGTACTCTACCACTGAGTTATAYCCCAACCTCCACCAACTCCTTTTAAATAAAATCTATTATTTTGATGAAAATCCAAATGTTAAGTTGAATACAGACTCTGTAGCACAGTTTTCTATCAACTCCCAAATCTGTTGCATGGGGTAGAATGGTAAGTCAGCAGATTTTATGTGACTGCTTCCCCATTGGTCTTTTATCCTTTCTTCTATTCTGGTATCTAGCCTAAGTTCTCCTCCTTCAGAGTCTTGATCTTGGTTGGCCTTTACCTATGTGCATGCTTCAAGGAAATCTCCCAAGGGTATGTAAGGTTAAATAGTTGAAACCTAACAAGACAAGACGTCAGCAGTGGGCATATGTCATGGTGGAATAACAAAGAGTTAGACAAGAAACTTAGCCTCTGATAGCACCAGATATTTCCAGAGTAGTGTCCTCAGGACTTACTACTGGATTTGATGTGGTGTGTGAGGGACAGAGAGGCATGAAGGATGGTGTCCCAGTTTTTAGTGAGTAAATCTGTGAATGGGGGTCCCACCTAACAAGCTGGAAATGAGTAGGGAAAAACTACTTGGGGGAGGAAAAGGAGGTGGGAAGGCAAGCAAGAGAAGTATTACCCAGAAGGTGAGATCCTAAACCTGTGTCTACCAGAGCATTAACTAGCACATAGAAGCTGCTCATTAAACAATAAATGAATGGATAAAACAGATGGATAAATGAAGGATGGAAGGGAGAGACAGAAAAGGAATTTAAAATTCTATAAAACATGAAGAACACGTGGCAAAATGATATGATGGTGAAAAGCCCAGGCTCGGATTTCAACAAACTGGGTTCCAGGCTCAGCATATATTTCCAAACCTCAAATCACTCCTTCTAGCTTCTGTTCTGGGACCTCCCGCCTCTTTCTTCCTCTGTTGGAAAAGTGCTCACATATGTATTCATCACATCCACCAGGTTCTGCTTCCCTGTGCTAAGTGCCAAGGGCCAGCGAACAGCCAAACAGGGAGGTCCTCTGCTTTTGCTGCAGGGTGGGGCGGAACTGAAGTCCCTCTGCAGATACAGCTTCCTTTCCTGCCAGTCAGCACACAGGTCCGACCACACCTCTCTCCCCACTACATGCACCTCAGCATCCCTCCAGTTGATGTGAAGCCAATGCCCTAGCCATCCAGTCAAATTCCAGCAAGTCAGCTGGCTGGGAGGGACAGTCTCACGAGAAGGGGATGAGACTAGTTCACTCCACTTACTTGAGCTGACTGACCCACTAATTGCTCTTACAGAGCCTTCAGGCTGGTTCCTACAGAGAGTCACAAAGCAAGAGGAGAGCAATTAGTGGGAAGAATATTTTTTAAAAGTCACCTCCACAATCATGGAGGGCACAGTGTAAAATGAGAAATACCTGTGACAGTACTGGAAAACAGCTGCGGGGCAGGCACCTCACTGCTATTTCATATATTATATGGTTTTCACATAGTAACTGCTTTTGTACTGGCTCTTTCACAGGATTGAGGGTCCAGAGCCTGCCTACATCAACCTCCTTGCCTGTTTCTCTTCCGGCAAAAATAACCCCACCGGCCTCCACCTGGACCAGCTCTGCACAGAACCCTGTGGCCCTCACGGCGTCCCCAGCCAGTGGCGTTCACAATACCTCGGTACTCCCAGTCACAGACATAGCCCTGACATCTGCACTGCCCAAGCATGTGTCCACTGAACCCACAGAAGAGGCAATCACCAGCCCATCCCCGAGCTGGGAAGGCACAAACCCAGGCCCGTCACTTCCTGGGTTCTTATCAACCAGCAGTGTGGTCCATGTGACACCCACGCCCGAGGAACACAACGCCAGCAGTCCTGAAGTGAGCGTGCCAGCTGAAGGGTCGCAGTCCCCTACATCCCTCTCCCCTCAAGCTCCAGCCTCTTCACCCTCCTCCTCCTCYTCATCCACCTTGCCACCTGAGATCCYTTCTGCCTCTGTCACCTCCAACCACAGCACCGCTGTGACCAGCGCCCAGACCACAGGAGCTCCAGCTACATCAGAGTCCCCAACAGAGGAGCACAGCTCTGGTCACACACCTACTTCCCGGGCCACAATGCAGCCAGTGCCCAAGGAGAAAACACAGCAGGAAACTGAGCCCAAGACAGTGATATGCGAGTCCGAGACCACCACCACCTTCCTGATCATGCAGGAGGTAGAACACGCGTTAAGTTCAGGTGAGTCTCCATCTAGACAACACAAGTGTTCTTGCCCATGCTGAGACATTAAGAACCCATTCTGTTACCCAAACACGAMTCCGTTGGAGTTTTGGAGTGTGACACCTGAAGGTAATGATAACTTGCAAGAGTTTCCATAAGAATGCGAACGTTAATTTTTGTCMCTTGATAATTTCCACATGACATATTATTCATTAGAGCTGATGGTCACCTACCTGTTTTGTCTCCTTGTCTTCTTACCATGTCACAGAGATTATAAATGAGTGAYGCTATAGAGTGAGAGGATTAATGGCACGACCTTGGGTCAAGCCTCCTAGATTTCCATTCTGACTCTGGACCTTGAGCAAGTGACTTCATCTCTTTGTGCCTTTGTCTTTTCTCACATGTAAAATGGGCACAGAATAGATTCTACTGCATACTGTTCTTGAGGAGATAAAATGAGATTTTGACATATAAAGTGCTTAGAATAGCTCCTGGCAGGGAGTAAGTGCTCAGGAAATATCAGTTATTATTCAGCTCAGTTTTAAAAGAAGTGTTTACCTCTTGGAAACCAGTCAAAGTAGGGTAGAGATGGAGAGAACTTGCTTATTCTTTATTGTCACTGATGTAGTTCATGGGAAAGGCAAAAAATTTTACAGGGTATTGCATTTGTTTTGATTCTCCCAGCAACACTGTAAAGTTATTATTTTTATCTTCATTTTGCAATCTTGGAAATTCTGATGGAGCAATATTTAGGGTCTTTTCTGAGGCTACACGTATCTGCCACCAATGTAAATTTTTTGAAACTGTAAATTTTAGGGTGTGGGATGGGAAAAGGCTTTCTTGAGAGCACTTGGTCATTTGGCTGAGATAGAATGAGGTGAGAACAGCCAGAAGGTGAAGGGGGCAATGGAGCTGCAGCTTCCCCTGGGTGGGCACAGGACAGGCACAGCTACCTAGAATATTCTGGACAGGCGAGGGTCAAATGAAAGGCTGTCACTGAGAAGAAATCCATATCTTTTAACAAATAATAAATGAGCACTATGAGTAAAAACCATGCTAGACAGTGTGGCATGAAGACAGAATGAAGATTAACAAAGACCTGATTCCTCCTGGAAGAGTCCACACTGCATAAGGGAAAAGTCCCAAAGAATTGTAAATTCCTATTTCAAAAGGCTCAGAATATCAGTGAGGGTCCCAACAAGAGAGACTCTCAAACTGAGATAAAGGAACGAATTACGAAATCTGGCAGGGGAACAGGGGACCCACAGGGGGTCTTGATCAGGCCTGAGAGGGAAGAAGGGAGTAGTGACCAGAACCCAGAAGGGGAGAGGCCTGTAGAAGAGACGGTCTTGATGGGAGCAGTGACTCCTGGTTGAAGGACACCTCTGTTCCAAGGTCAACTGCCTGTGAAGGGAGCACTCTGCCTTCCCTCTCCCTCTCTGATATGGATACAGAAACCAAGAAAGCTATTAGTAGTCTCAACAGTTCAGTCTCCTAGATGACTACTCACAGAAGGGTCAGGGGTAGAACTGCAGAGGCCAAAGGAGGTTATCTAGTTCCCATCCCCTTGGTACCCTGTTTATACCTGCAGGCCAGCACTTACAGCACGACCATGGGTGTGCGCCTTCCGTCTCTGTCTCTATCCTGCCCCCAACCCCCAGCCCCACCACCATGACCCCACCCACCCTCCCTCTCATCATGCGAGTAACAAACATCTGTGGCATTGAGGGGTGCCTGGAGCAGAGTGGGAGTCTTAAAGACTCTCTCTAACAAAGTGGACATCCAAGTATGGCCTTGTAGACATGGCCCCCCCATCGCTTTTCTCTTTCCTGGTTCAGTCTTCTACTACCACCTGTGTGCACTACTTCCATTTTCCAACTGGTCTCCCTTGTTCCACTCTCTGTCCCCTCCAACATAGTACAGACATGGAAGATCAATAGTCCTGAACAAAAAGTCTGAATCTGGCATATTCAAATCCTCATAATCTGACACATCCATTCCTTTCTACAAGTACTCTGGTTTCTTGAATTTTTTTTTAAGAGCTCTGTTCTAATATCTCATCTTGATTTTTAGGCCACATGTCTTGATATCTTCAACTCAGCTGGGTCATGAGCAAAAATTTAGTGGCAGAATTGGGTCAGAACCTCTGTAGTTCTAGAGAACTTGCACACAGTAGAACTCCAGAGTAAATGAATGAAGGAATGCTTGCATGGATGGGAAAGAGATTGGCATGGCAGGTGAAGGGGAGATAACTGAGCATGGACCAGTGTGCATTTCACAGTCCAGAGAAGATTTATCCCTCRTGATCTAGTAAAGAAAAGAATGCTTATTGTGCTTGATGTAGAGTGTAAGTTCTGATTTTTGAGTGTTAGAGTTTTTCATAGTTCAAGGAGAGAAAGGTCACAAGCACAAGGAACTCTTCACACCTCCTTAGTTTCTGACAATGAACTGAGAYGGGTGGAAGGATCTTTGGGACAAAGTGGTGCAATCTCAAAGTTCATTTCAAAGTTTCTTCAAACTCTGTCCTGGAAGTCTGAAGTGTCTTGCTCAAGGTTACACAGTTCAGTGGCAGAGATGGCCCCAGAGCCAGATCCCTAACCCACAGTCAAGTCACTGTCACCACACAGCATTGTTGCACTGCTCCCGCTGAGAATCTGCCTCCAGGATCTGGGGATGTTCTTATTCAGTGACGTGTGTGCTGTCTCTGGTAGGGGCAGCATAAGACCAAACTTTTGCAGGGTCATCTGGCTTATTCCAAGTGGGTTCACACAACATATTTCTCTTAACCAAGGACTCATCTGCTCAACAAATACCAAAACATGGTCACCAATGAATAATTTTGAAGCAAGACAAATGCTTTGGATGCTAAGCCTGACTACAGGGATTGGGGAAGGCTCCCTAGTGGAGGGAGCTAGGAGCTGAGCTGCAGGAGATAAAGGGGATTAGGGCTTAAGAAGAGCAAAAGGGGATTTCAGCAAGGGTATTTCTTGTGCTTGTGTGTGAAGGTGAGGCTCAGGGGCATGACAGGTAATTCTGCACACACAGTGCTACAGAGAATTCCCCCACCCCGCAGTTGTGAGCACTGAAACYGCCCTTGGTGAGGAATCAATGCCTTCCACATTTCCAGTTCTGGTGGTTAATTCTCAGGCCTGGTTTCAGCAGACCTGTCAGCAGCCATGGACCAGGACAGTTATGGTGACTGCCCTCATCTTTAAAGCACTGCCTCCACTAAAGTCCTGGACAAGTTCTGTCTTGGTACTTCATCTATTCTGACCTCTGCCTCACTTCACCCCCTCACCCTGCTACACCGTACAGGTTGAGCAGACCAGGGCCACCACTGTCTTCTTCCCTCCACGATCTCTCCATCTTAGAGTTCCCTTCCCTCTCCTCCTCCCTCCACACTCATTCTTGAGTTGATTGCACCCTGGTTCATGACTTTAARTGACATCTGTATGCTGATTCCCTGAGATATAAAATTTATCCCTGTTTTATATCATTGAAATCATATGAGATGAGTTCCTCACCTCTCAGTGTGCTCCTCCCTCTCTCTTGCCCTTTTTTCTTTCAGTTCCTTAGGCCAAGACCCTGGCAGTGATCCTAGACTCCTTTCTTTCTCACATACTCCCCATCTGACCCATCGGCTCTGCACTGATCACTCCTCACCCTTCCATCATCTCTCAAGTGGATTACTCTATCGTTCCTGTAACTGGTCTCACCACTCACCACAGCCTTGTCACTTTAAAACTTAAGGACTTTAGGGTCTGTTTGATGTTTGTCCTGAACTCTGCATTGCTGTCTGATAACCAGCCTCAGCTGCCTCCTAGTCAGAGGAAGAGTTCAGAATCCAAATGCTCCTCTGACCTTGACCTCTTTTTCCAAGGATGTGGCTGGTGCTCATGTCAATCTTCATATCTGAGCTCTACAAGGTCAAAAGTGAAGGGAGGGCTGCCTTGTTAGGCTGATGCCTGTGTGGCCAGTTCAGCAGCCAATATCCAGTTGTGGCTTTTGAACATATGAAATGTGTAGTCCCATTTGAGATGTTCTGTAATAGTAAAATACACATTGGATTTCCAAGACCTAGTACTAAAAGAAGAATGGAAACAATATTTTTTAGATGGGTTGCATGTTGAAATAATAACATTAGGGTAAATAAAAACTTTTTTTTTATAAAAAGCTCAGAACAGATTCTGCTGCTCCTTGGCTATAACTTCTATAATTGTTTCCCCTCTGAATCAGAGTAAAGGGCAAAGTCTGTTTTGTGCCCACAATGCTCAGCATGACCTGAACCTGTATGGCCTCTTCTTCCACTCTCAAACACGCTGGCAATCTTTCTGTTTATTGAACATACAAATAATACTCCTGCCTGGGCCTTTGCACTTATTGTTGCCCCTGCCTTAAACATTCTGTCTCTCCAGGCCTTTAATGGCTCTCTCCTATTCATTGTCAGGACTCTGTTTAAAGCCTTTATTCACTTCCTTATCTGAAATAGGAACCCCATCATTGTTGGTCCCTCTGCCTCATTTTATTTATCTTTTAATTGCTAACTATTTTCTGACTTCATCTCCTTTATGAGATGAGTGCCTGTTTTCTATCACTGGACTGCCAGGTCCATGAAAGCAGTGGCCTGTTCACAAAGAGGAAGATGTAACTTATATCCCCAGCTTCTAGAACAGAGCCTGACCCATGGTAGGCTTTCAATAACATTCGTTGAATCAATGAATTGAAGAATATATCAGCTAGTTTCAGGGAAGTTGTTTAATYTCTCTGAACCTATTTTATCAGTCAGACAGAATAGGGCTAGCATCAGCATGATGGAGTTATTCTAAGGTTTGGATGAGACAATAAATTTCACTATTAAGCAGTGGCTTAATCAATGACTGTGTTCATATTTTACTACTATTCACTGTTATTATTCTTGTTACTACTATTTTGCTGTAGCAGTTATCATCATTATTATATTCACCATAACTAGAAATACCCTGTATCTTTAACACTGAACTTTCACTATGAGCTGAGAA